ACACCATGTACATATATCCTTCATGATTTAAAAAACAATTAGAAAACTAAGACAGAAAAGATAGGAAAAAAAATTAACACACGAACCTAATAAATAAAATGCATAAATACAAACATTCTCTGAAAACTTTTCCTATGAGACATTTGTTTAAAAACAATCCATCATAAAGTAAAGAATCTCAACATAAATAAGCATGCAAAGTTTCAATTATGTAGTTCCAAAACTATTCCTCCTGATTCATCAATTGATGTCAGAAAAAAATATAATGAAAATGCTATAGTATATAAAAGCTGAAAAAGACACAGAAACAACATTGATGCATACATCATGAACACATCCCAAAAAATTATTGTTAGGTTGTAAGAAAAAATTTGGTATCAAATGAAAGATAATTGAATGGACTATATGTTTGTAAACTTAATTCTTCAGTTTAACTAAAGGAACATTAACTAAAATAAATTACCACAAATGACATCCGAATAGGTCTATTGGACCCGGGTTTGAATAGCGACAGCCATTTATTTACAAACATTCACATCTTTATTTTATACAAGTAGTGGACAATTGTTGGGGCAGCTATCTTTTTCTTTTCAGGGTAAAATTTTGCTTTACCTTCGGTCGCCCCTTTGGTCGCACTCTCTCAAAGTTAACCTTTCCAAAGGAATTAATACTATTTTCAGTTTCAATTTTTTCGAAATTATTTGCAGCAACTGTTTCCTCGTGGGAAAAATGAATGTCATTTATATCAACAAAATCAATTAGTTGACTTTGAATGAAACTTGTTTGTGGTTCACCTTCATCAAGTTGTGACCCCGATTCATTTTCATCTAAATTTTCAGGACTTTTCCAGAGACTTATAGTAGTTTCAAGAAAGGATATTTTCTCTACAAAATCTTGTTCTCCTTGCATCGCCAAAAAATTTGCCAAGCCCATACAAATTCTTTTAGCATGATTAAACCGACCCTCTTGAGTCTTAAAATTATTGTTTCTAGTAGATACAATTTGAGAAGTTACTGAACCACTAGAAGTAGAAGCAACCACTCTAGGAACACTATGTTTGCTAAAACGGCATGGAATTAACTCTGAACAAAATTCTGGAAGCTGTAAATGTCTTCGAACTGAAAAAATATGTCTGCAAGGTAATGCCATCTTTTTAGCAAATGAACAATTACATTGAACTGATGTTGAGCTAAAAATACGTTCCTTATAAGCTACTGAAAAAAGTTCTGCCTCTCCAGGGACAACAGAGTACGGAACAGATCGTGACAATTTGAGCTGATTGAGCAATAGAGCAGCAGCAAAGGAAGTAGCAACACTTTCAATCTTATTTACACTTTCATCATTATCAGATGACGTATACTGAGCTGTGTTTGCAGCAAGCAATCTTAAACGATCACATACTGTAATTTTGCAGTTGTCAAAAGACATAAGGTTACGAAGAGCAGATGAAAAAGAAAGATAATGAGTCAAACTCTTTTTTATTTTGGCATGATAAGACTCCAAGTGATTTGTTGTTGTCGCATGGAGTCTTAAAACATCAGCATTGGATGATGCTGCCCATAAATGGGCCTTACTCCACCAGTTTGACTCAAAATACTCCAAAGCTACATCAGGAAGAGTATCTTTCATGTCTTGCATCAACTTTAAAAATTCATCACACGACTCAGTATAAACTTGAGACATAAATCCTTCAAGAATTGGCTTAACATGCTCAGGACCTACATGTTTCGAAAGAAACCTGTGCACAGCCTGGTTAATGTGAAAATGACATAGATTAACAGGTACATTTGGAAAGAGATCATTTATAGCAGAGATTTCAGCCATGTCTTTGTCAACCACAAAGCACTTGAAAAGACTGGCATCAGAATTCTTCAGAAGAAGCTGCAAACAAAGAGAAATAGATTCCTTATCTTCATTTTTTACAAAACCATGAAGAACAGGAATGCCCCTGCCCTCTCCATCAATAACCATGACAGTCAAAAGTGGATATAAATATTTATTGGTTTTATATGTGAAATCCATTAATAAAACCTCTGGATATTGGGCAATAATTCTAATCATATCATCAGTCATGTATGATAAATACTTAAATTCCCCACTTTCTGTTAGTCCATACGACACACTTCCACCAGCTTGTGATATAGAATGAAGTATAGATTGAGTTTCAGTTGCATCAGAAGATGATTTATTTATTCTTGACTTAATATTGTAAATGTCCCTGGGAAGCAAATCCACATCATGCTGTTGTTCAAGCACTTGCCGGGCCTCAGATGCCTGAATCGTGGTGCAGGACATCAACAGAAGCGTTGTCGCATTTAGTTCCACCTTGCGGTTTTCCGGATACAAGCGGCACATCTGGAAAAAAAATACACAAAGGTTACTTTGCAATAATAAGTATTATGTAAAAAAATATGCTCTGCAAACATTATTATTATTAGTGGTCTTATAAAAGGTTCCCTTTAAGCTGCGCTGCCGCGCAGCCATCTCACAGGCGCTGCGCAGCAGTTTTGAGTATCCGCACAGCAAATTTCATTCTAAGTGTGTGTTTGTGTTTCTGGACTGTAAAATTTTGCACACAAAAAAATTGATGCTGTAAAACTTTGCACATAACTGTATGATTTTGCACACAAAACAACAAACCTTAGAGGGAACATTGGTCTTATATAGTGCGGTACCCCAGCCTAGGGCTAGGCTCACCGCTGTGTACATAAAAATAACTAACCTTCACCTTGGGGATAAATGTTTTGTTTATTATATGTCACAATAATCAAAATTAAGATATAAAACTCTGTTTGGACTATTTAGAATTTATTAAATTTAATTATACTGTTAAATAGATTTGTCTTAATTTTTTTCAAAACCTTTCTATGGTAAGGGTGGTAACCCTAACCTTAACCAAAAGTTTTCAGTGATAAAATTTCTGAGCGCCCTAGATTGAATGGGTTAATGCATGGTACAAAACATTCTTTTAAAATGCATCCATCTAACCTCTATAGTACTAGAGACTAGAGTACCTGTAGGTGACAACAACCTGCCACAAGAATAAGCTATTTATTATTATTATTATGTAAATATTTTTCGCAGCACATGCACTTACTTCTTTTGATACTTCATGGCCAGTATGTTCATGCATTGATTTGGTAATTTCTAGCCGAGATGGATTTCTCTTGGCAACAAGCTTTATCTTTGTCTGGCATCCCAATTTGAAAGAACTGAAAAATATAAAAATTCTCAACGAATTGCAAAAAGTGGTAAGGGCTAATGTATTTAACGAATGCCACGGCGTCATTTGCTTCTTTATTATAGTTGCAGTGAATTAGGGTTCAGGTTAGGTTGAGAGGTCGATTAAGGGTTCAGGTTAGGCATCGGCATAGGCATAGCATAGTGATCGATTTAGGGATACATTAGTCGCGGCCATCGATAAAATAGTGGCATTCGTCCTCTCCATTTACCGTGGTAATAATCATTGGCTTGGAGAAATAATTATTACATGACAAGAACAACTAAATTTAAAGTTAACCTATTATTATTACTTTATTACTTACGCTTGTGATTTTCTTTGGCCTGTTGTCGTTGAAGACTTTGACTTGCGTTTAACGCCTTGTTTGCAACAGTGAATTATATATTCATATTTAAGGTGTTCCAAATTGGGATCTTTCATCTTCTCTGACGATCTTTTAGTGAAACACACATTGTGTTCTTTACAAAAATAATTCAATTCGTCTTAAAAAGACGCATAGGTGTCAAAATTGCTGCCAACCTCCATTTTTATAAAAGAAAGCGCGGCAAACTTGTCGATTATTAAGCCTCTCGTTCGGATCATGTTTTTTTCGATTACTAAGACTTTCGGGTGCGAATAGTCATTGGCGATGATGGGTACTCGGGTACCTATAGCCACTTCGTTTTCGATATGGTTCATGGCAATGGCTCACGACCGTAGTTTCTAGGATATGGTTCATAGCAATGGATCACGACCGTAGTTTCCAGAATATGGTTCATAGCAATGGATCACGACCGTAGTTTCTATGATATGGTTCATAGCAATGGATCACGACCGTAGTTTCTAGGATATGGTTCATAGAAATGGATCACGACCGTAGTTTCTAGGATATGGTTCATGGCAATGGATCACGACCGTAGTTTCTAGGATATGGTTCATAGCAATGGATCACGACCGTAGTTTCTAGGATATGGTTCATGGCAATGGATCACGACCGTAGTTTCTAGAATATGGATCACGGCACAGTCTCGAGGCAATGGATCACAAGGGATAGTTTCCAGGATATGGTTCGTGGCGCTGTGTCGGGGCAACGGGCCAGTTGTATAGCAACATGCCCGTTATGCTGAATATTGATAATCTCGATAACATGTCTAATTTTTAAACTGATCAAGTTGAAACTCTGTTGTCTTAAACAGTGAGAAGTATGCACTGCGGGGTAACAGAAAACCTGATGATGGATAATACACACACACAAAAAAGAACGTTCCAGCCAATTTGTTTCTTTTTGCCACTCAACGTCCAGTTAATTGTATCGTCCTGCTTCACGTCTTCCCTTCGCCCCGTGAATGTTTCTTAATGCTTCAGCCTGAGAGCAGTCCTCACCCACCCCCCATTTCTCTTATCTTTATCAAAATGTATGTTGTTCATATGCTGAAAATGTATACGCACAATGTCATCGTAACACACGTTCATTCATTTCTTTGAACTCATTAAATAATGTTATAATATTATCACATCTTATCTTTAAGTATGTACATTTAATGTGTTGTACTTCAAAAAAGTGTTGTGAATTATTTGTCATTACCCAAAGTTTCATTTTAAAAAAAAAACCTTTAAAAGTAACAATGGGGTGGGGAGGGGACTCGTCAATCACTATTACATCCAAACAACTTTGCTGACATTAGACAACAAGATTCCCTACCCGAAGCAGGTCGATTGTAAAGTTGACCAGCTGCTTTAATTTTCCCTTCGCGGTTAACTGGTCACCGCCCAGGGCCACGGCTAATTCTAGGAACTCGTCCCCAGGCTCAAACATGGCCATCACACGAAACACGTCTGACTGGTCTTGGTCTAACTGGTCAGAGCGAGAAAGATGCGAAATAAATAAAATCAAAAACCAAATCAAGCATCTACAATCGGGGAGCCGCGGGCAACACCCTTCAATCTCCCCTACTCCTCTGCTGACCATGTGTCGCAGTGCAGTCATTCGTCACATTCTCTCGCACGTCTCTTCTTTTCCCCGCCATGTTTCCGTTTACACGTTATGATTGGCAGTTGATCTTAAAAAGCAATAAATTACATGATAAAAACAATACCGTTATCTAATAATAATAATAATAAAGTTCATTTCAAAAACACGCTTCATCCCCAAAGGCTCGAAGCGCGGTACAAAGTCAACAAAAAACATATCTATAATTAACCACATTTAAAACAAACGCAACACTACAAAAACTAATTACAAGCATACAATTGCAAAGTCTTTCTAGCCATTTCAACCCGGAGCAACACAGCCATTATGCATTAACTGGAAAATAAGGTAGACCATCATCCCAGTAGATATTTGCGAAATAGATGTGTCTTTAGATCGGTTTTAAAGGATTCCAGTGTCTGGTTGTTTCTGAGATCGACAGGAAGGGCGTTCCAAACTGTTGGACCAGCAACTGGCCTGCACAACATACGGCCCGCCAGCACGCACTTTGCGGTCCGCGAGGTAACGAAATATTCTTTATTATTATTATTTTCTTAAAAGCTACCCCCCCCCCAACCCTGTCCATTTATCTTTCGGCCCGCACAAGTTTTGCTAAAGGTATCACGGCCCGCCTGACATTCTGAGTTGTGCAGGCCTGATCTACAGTATGTTAATTAAACTGAAATTAATTATGGGCATTAGAATAATTATTTGAACCCCACATTTCATAAAGTTCAGGAACTGTCATCGGTAACCAAAGACCGATAGCCTAGCAATTTACAAGAAGTCTCTGCTTTTCGCGGCTTGAAGCGTCTCAGAGTTTCTCGTTAGCTTAAGCCGAAAAATCAAACCACATGAAATATTCAGTGAATTCATTGTAAATATGGCAAGGTTTGGATGTACCTTTCAGACAGGATATGCTGCTATTAACAATAGGCAGTCCTCCGCCCTACCTGTTGGCCTTTCACCAATAATAATAATAAGAGGTCTTATATAGCGTGGTACCCCAGCCTAGGGCTGGGCTCACCACGCTGTACATAAAATTTTTTATCAAAAGAAACATAATCATGACATTAAAATAAAATACATTTATGAAATAAAGAACAGCAACCCACCCCACCACAAAGATTTTACAAGGCAAACCATGGACGGGAGCCAGCAAGATCATTTATCGGTCAGAGGAGAGGAATCAGTCAGGGTAGTATAATTTAAAAAGATATGTTTTGAGTGCAGTTTTGAAGGCCTGTGTGGTTGATATATTGCGTATGTGTAGTGGCAAAGAATTCCATTGTTTGGGGGTGCAGAAAGAGAAAGATCGTTCACCATATGTTTTAGTGTGTATCTTGGGAACGGACAGAATACGCCTGTCTGCAGAGGAGCGAAGCTGTCGAAGGGGTGAATAGACAGAAAGAAGTTCGGTTAGATAGGAAGGGCAGAAATCCAAGAAAAAGTTGTGACAGAGAACAGACAACTTGTAGTCGATGCGTGCCTGTATAGGTAGCCAATGAAGGGAATGGAGTAGTGGAGTGACGTGATCACTTTTTTTTGCCTTTAAAACTAGCCTGGCAGCTGAGTTTTGAACTTTCTGCAGATTTTCTATGCAGTGTTTTGGTGAACCTGACAGAAGATAGTTGCAATAGTCAAGATGAGAGAGAACAAGAGCACAGACTAGAGTTTTTGTAGCGCTAACTGTGATCTGTGAGTTGATCTGACGGATAGTGGTGTACGCTGAACGACAACTGTGAGACATATGTTTTTCGAGAGACATGTTGTTAGAAAGAATATAACCAAGATTCCTAACAGAGGGTGTAAACCGTACGTCAGAGTTACCTACATGAAATGAGGTAGGAAGAGTTGAGGTAGAGGATGATGTGTGATTGTGGATGAGGAGTGCTTCCGTTTTGTCCTAAAGACAGTCCTGGAGATAGCACTACACACAGTCCTACACTACACATGTGGCTCTTTATTTGATTCACATAGTAGTCGCCTCCACCTAAAGAAAAATTCAATCTTTTTACTAGAGTTCAACCGTCTAACATGACGCTTGCTGCGTGACAGCTTTTTTCACTCACAACTATTAATATAAACAAATGTTGAGTAGGAAGAAGGGGAGGTTGTGATAAGGAAGCAGGACACAACAAACGCAAATTTTATGTAAGAGATTGTATGACTTTCTTTTATATAATTGGTCCAATCACATATTTTGTTTTGTCCAATCACATATTTCGTTTGGTCCAACCACATATTTCGTTTGGTCCAACCACATATTTCGTTTGGTCCAACCACATATTTTATTTGCTCCAACCACATATTTCGTTTGGTCCAACCACATATTTCGTTTGGTCCAACCACATATTTCGTTTGGTCCAACCACATATTTCGTTTGGTCCAACCACATATTTCCTTTGGTCCAACCACATATTTCGTTTGGTCCAACCACATATTTCCTTTGGTCCAACCACATATTTCGTTTGGTCCAACCACATATTTCCTTTGGTCCAACCACATATTTCGTTTGCTCCAATCACATATTATGTTTCAACAATTTACTACCACAATGTTCTACATTGACTCCCCCCCCCCCCCATTTTTTTAATTTACAGAAGTTCGTCAGCCGAAGCGGTCATCAGCAATCCTCTCATCATCCTCCATGTCAATGTTGGCAGCCTTCATGTCAATGTTGGCAGCCTTCATGTCAATGTTGGCAGCCTTCATGTCAATGTTGGCAGCCTTCATGTCAATGTTGGCAGCCTTCATGTCAATGTTGGCAGCCTTCATGTCAATGTTGGCAGCCTTCATGTCAATGTTGGCAGCCTTCATGTCAATGTTGGCAGCCTTCATGTCAATGTTGGCAGCCTTCATTTCAATGTTGGCAGCCTTCATGTCAATGTTGGCAGCCTTCATGTTACTTTTAAAAGTCTCAGCACCTTCGCGGGCGTGCAGTATGTCTGGCCCCCTCTGACAGTTCTCCATTCAGCGGGTCCTTCGGAATTCGCCCGGTGTTGTGTCTGAGACTACTACCATTGCTGCTACGTACACATGTTGTGGATCATGTAATACACTTGCACAATTACGCTCTGGGACTCAGTACTGAGCTAATAGCCATGCAGCACAAATCACCAAAGTACTGAGTATTATATGTCACATAACGAACAACTTTATTATCCGGAAAATCATCTATCAAAATCCTTCCTATTCAAAGTCACTAATAATCATTTCGAAGTATTACAATCACGTAATGAAATCGTTATAAAAAACAGGCACTAATAATCCTTTCTAAGTAGTCCCTTATCTCTCACTACTCTATGTACAATCAGAATACACTGTCTCTTTCCTGGCACACTATATATACATAATTATATGTACAACCTCCGGCCCATCATCAATGACAATATCACGCCTTGTTTACTTATACTCGCACACCTTCGGGTGAACACAACTTAATCTAACCCCAAACATAACAGCAGTGATTCTCATACCCTTGACACCCGGCCTTTATTACTTGACAAGGCCTAGCCATCGAATGCGCATCTATGCGTGGAGATCATGCTTCTGCCCGTTTGGGCACTTTTTAAAATCCCTGTTTTATAGTCTCATGGTCCTGCCGTCGACCATCAGACATCTTAGATGGAGCTGTTGAATTTTCGCTCGTGAAGAGCGTATGACTCGCGGTGCAAGCGTCACTGCCACAGAGCATCTATCTGAGCACTGCAGGCCTGGGCGCCTCGCTGTGAAAGCCTCACTGCCACAGAGCAGCTAGCCTAGCCCTGCGGGCCTGGGCGCCTCGCGGTGAAAGCCTCACTGCCACAGAGCAGCTAGATGAGCACTGTAGGCCTGGGCGCCTCGCGGTGAAAGCCTCACTGCCACAGAGCAGCTAGATGAGCACTGCGTGCCTGTCGGGCGCCAAGTCTTGTCCTCCCAACACGCCAGACAAACACAGATCGCGCACAACTTACAAATATTATGTTCTCGGGATCGCGGCCTCCTGGTTTACTCCATTTCTTCAACACTTCCACTTTGAACAGCGTGAACACGGACATGCTGTGTGACTTCAGTAGCGCCGTCTGCATGCTCCAGTTCTCCGGATCGAACGGTGGGACACCAGCATTGGTTAAAGTCCATGAACCGAGGTCACCGATCAGCTTCTAATGTGGATACAGGAAATTCTTTGGTGGGTAAATATTTTTTTTTTAAAGAAGCCAAGTAACCCATTGTTTAAAGTTTGTGTTATGGGATGAGTGGGGTTGTTGGGGATGGTGGGGTTGTTGGGGAGGCTGGGTTTGCTTGACATAATAGTAAGAATATATAATAAAGTAGCTTTTTAGTTTGGTCTGAGATGAGGGACCCTACAAATATCAGACGGATAAATAATAGAGTTAAAATTTAAAATTGGTCCCATTTAAATCTACTTAAAAATGTTATAGATATAGCTTTTTAAAATTATCGAACTTTCTGGAAAATTCTAGAATGGATATTATTAGTTTTAAATCCACCGGTATTTCAATACGGACGATGAAGAGTATTGATACAACGCTAGGCCTATATCCTTCAATTTCCATAGAAACTATTGTATTGTCTAAGCCTATTGATATTTATATGGCTTATATAAGAAAAAATGAAATGGTGTCCCCGGCCCCACATGAATGGATATTATGAGTTCAATACCCGTCGGTATATGAAGATGGATAATAAAGTTTATGTATACTAAGTTTGGTCAAGATCCATCTACTCATGTAGGAGTTTTAAGCCTATAGATATTTATATAGCTTATATAATGAAAAATGAACTGGTGCCCCCGGCCCCAGAGAAATGGATATTATGAGTTCTGCACCCTTCGGTATTTGAACATGGATTGTCATGTGTATGTAGACTAAGTTTGGTCAAGATCCATCGACTCATGTAGGAGTATTTGTGGTTAATTATTTTTATATAGCTCGTATAAGGGATAAAAAAAAAAGAACTCTGGGCCCCCGGCCCCTAACGGAATGTTATAAAAAGTTCATAACCCCTTAAGAGTTCCTTTAGGAATTATGTGCCAAGTTTGGTCAAGATCCATCAATCCACGTAAAAGCATTTGTGGAACAGACAGACAGACAGACATACAAACCCACAAACGTTCACTTTTATATATATATACCTAGTACACCTTCGGTGAGTCGTTGTTTTAATTGGTTTTTTTTAATTTTCAAAATATCATAAAAGATTTTATTTATGAAATCATTTTATTGTAGATACAAACATTGTATTAAACAGGAATCACTTCATGCAGGCAAGAGTCTAAGATATATTTTATTTTATATAATAATACTTTCGAAGTAATTCCTTATCTCTTACTCCTCCTTGTACACATATATATATATATATATATATATATATTGACCATCCGGCCCATCATCAATGACAATATCACGCCTTGTTCACTAATATACTCGCGCTCCTTTGGCTGAACACAACTTACTCTGACCCCAAACACAATATCAAAATCATGCTTTGAAAACCTACACATTTTGTTTAAAATGAATGTGTGTGCAAGTGATGGATTGCTAAGAAAATCAATTTAGAGACATCAAGTCACACTTCAAGCGTCTTTCCTCTCAAGCCACTTCAGTTAAAACTCACCTTTAAATACCTCATGTCTGTGTGCGCGCCGTCTTCGCTAACACACAACTCGTAATACTTTTTCATTTTATCGACAGCAGTGGAGCTTCGGCCGAGCAACTTGGTATTTTGTTTGGATGCCATTATCTATGAATATGATCATTAAATTAATTAAATGGATAATCAATTTTTTTTTAATCGAGTCTAGTTTATTTTTTTAATCGAGTCTAGTTTATTTTATTTTAATCGAGTCTAGTTATTTTTTTATTTTTCATTAATATTAACTTCGCTTTTTTTTCGTGTTTGTTTAAGTCAAAATCCTCAGGTGGCTATTTGACCCACTTCCCGTCATACTATCAAGCTGAAACCTGACACATAGACCTGTTGCCGATGACACCATATTCTGTCAAATTTTTAAGTTGTTTGTGGAGGACATCTCTGTTCGGTCACTTTGCAGAAAATACTGAGCTGGGCGCCTCAAAGGCGAACGGATCCCCCACCCCCCCCCACCACCCCACTCAAGCTACCCTGCTTTAACTTGCAAGACCCATAAAAGAGACCCCCCCCCCAAACAAAAAAATAAATTTAATAATTAACTGTCGGGCGTGCAGCAGGGGGGGGGGGGAATCGAGAGGGTCCCGCGTCACGTGCATCCTTTGTGACACGCCCCAAAAGTTGGCGTTTTAAAAAAAAAAAAAAGGTCAAATCCACCAGAGCACTAGCCGGGGGCAAACATCAATGCGAGTAAGCACGGTCTCAATCGGAGTGTGGCTTGTCACTTGGAATTCGAATAAAACATCCTGAACCTGGCGGGAATGTTTCATGTTTATGAACACACAAATGTAACAGACTCTATAGTGTTCCCTTATTTAGATGTACCATGAGGATGGTGTGGATGTCATGCGCAGAGGGAGAGGAAGGAAGTTGAGAGATATAGATTGGAATGGAGAAGGTGCACTTTCAATGTATTTAAGATTCATTTAGGATATATCACATGGAATCGGAACGGCCAATGTCGACCTGTTCTTATTTAAAGAGAATGAAGTTATATGATGTCATGATAGTTCTTTTGTTCCAGTTTGGATATATATTTATGTTGTGAATAGTGACCCCTTCAATGTGATTAAAGTTCATAGTGACGAGATGCTCAGCATTGTCTCATTTGTGATTTCATAGCAATGCGTTTGATTGATAGGTAGTAGGTATCAGACTTGTAATTTGGCAAAGAACGCTGGTTACACGTCAGTTGCAACAAATATCAACACTTATAATAGAGATTTCTGCATGGGAACGAAAGTTTCTGCCCGCAAAAACACAAAAAGTGAAACAGCATTCATGTAAAGCAGCGGTTCTCAACCCGTGGGTCGCGACACGTTTTGGGGGGTCGAACGTCTCTTACACAGGGGTCGCCTTAGACCATCGGAAAACTTATATGTATGAGGTAACAACGTAAATAATTGTATGGTTGGGGGGGGGGTCACCACAAACTGAGGAACTGTGTTATTGCTAAAGGGTCGCGGCATTAGGAAGGTCGAGAACCACTGATGCAATGCAATAACTGTTTTATGCGAGCCCAAAAAAAAACCGAAGCATTACATTCTGAATGATTGAGCGATGTTATTAATACGTTCACCTTAAACGCGTCCTCCTTGAAGCGACTGTCTGCATCTCTGGGAAAATATCTTCCCGCCTGCGACGACTTCTTGGCATTGTAGTTACCGCACGAAAATAAATGCATGTCCTCACAAGGGTCGGCGGAGAAATTTATTTTGTCCACGATGTAAGCGCTGGTCTCTTCGCACTCCTTTGTGGTGCACACCTACAGGGAAATGAAACACGCTGGGTGCATTAATTATAGTAACACATAGTTCCCCTTCAATGGTATTGGAATTTATTTTTTATTTTTTTTTAATTAAAAAAAAATTAAAAATCAATTAAAATAATTAATATGACGCATGGATGAAGTGCAGGAAATAATCTATATTACAGTCTTTAACAAGCCAAGCGAGGCCGTGCTTGCCTGCACCGATCTGTCATGAATTAAAAATTGATGAGCTTAGACGCAATTAATTGTGTAAGTCTTGATTCACCGGCTTGTCTTCGCGTAGTTTCCTGGTTAGACGGTACCAGCAATTAAGAAAATACATAGGTGAATCATCTATTTCTTAGCGTAGTTTCCTGGTAGACGATAACAACAATTAAGAAAATTCATAGGCGTATCATTTATGGTACAGGTTCACAAACGTTTTTTGAGTCGTGACCTAAATAAACTTGACAGAAAGTGGCCGGCGACCCTAGAAGTTAAATTTGAAAATTATGTTGAGAGAAAACATATAGAAAAGAGATGGAGCATTAAGAAATTATTCGTTGCTCTTTAAGACATCCATTAACAATGAACATTTCTTTACATTCACACAATGTTAAGATTATAGTTTAAGCCTGTGACCCCTACCCCGTCCTCCTGAGAACCCTCCAGTTTGGGGTTCTGGATGCGTGGGTTGAGAATCCGAGAGTGATGGGTAGTTGTTCTCTACCACAAAATAATATAAAAAATGGTCTTGACTTTTTAAGCGATTATTTTACCCTTTGCTGCCAGACTCTGAATCAAATCTGAGAAGATCTGCCTTTCATTTTGACTATGTAACAAGTCTGACAAGATCTGCCTTTCATTCAGACTATGTAATAAGTCTGACAAGGTCTGCCTTTCATTCAGACTATGTAACAAGTCTGACAATATCTTCCTTTTATTCAGACTATGTAACAAGTCTGACAAGATCTTCCTTTCATTCAGACTATGTAACAAGTCTGACAAGATCTTCCTTTAATTCAGATTATGTAACAGTCTGAAATGAGCTTCCTTTTATTCAGACTATGTAACAAATCTAACAAGATCTTCCTTTCATTCGGACTATGTAACAAATCTAAAAAGATCTTTCTTCTCATTTGTACTATGTATCTAATCTAAAAAGGTCTTCCTTTCATTTAGACTATGTAACACGTCTGACAAGATAATAACGTTAGAGAAAAATCGCCACCTCTCTTGTCGCCGCCACCGACTTGCCCAGCCTCGCGGGTTCATGTCCAGGTCTGAGCAGCCCCGAGACATATATGGCGATCCCCAGCAGAGCAATGACCAGACAACTCGACGCTATCACCAAGCATTTCTTGGGAGAGTTCTTCTCGTCTACCACAGCTCTCCACATTGGAGATGTTTGTCCCAATTTCCTGTAGCTTATTTATGCCCAATCGAAGAATACTTATAAACGGAAATACGTCACGAACTGCAACCAGTTAAAGTAGCCATATCTCGGAAAATCCTATAATTTATACTCAAATAAAAAGTGCGCACGCAACGTAAATATAATATATTTAGTGGAATTGTTTTATTTTAAACTTTGGAAGCTGCTGTTTATGTTTTATTAGATGACGCTTCTGTCGAAAATGATTAATGATCTCCAATGTAAGCTACCCGTTCTCCCCGGTAAGTAATTCTTAAAAAGTCTTTAACTTTGTGCACGTCGTGTTATGATGATTGAATACTTTTATAGCGCTTGCGTCCATGCTATTTTACCATGCTCACAGCGCTCTGATGTCCTATAACCTTTTTAAAGAAAAAAAGTATGTAAATCTTTCTAAAATGATTTCTTTTTTTTTTAATATCATTTTCAATTTCTCTCAAAGATTGAGGCAAACTGTATTCTTAGGTCCAGGAAACGTTCAGATCCACAAAATATCCAACTATCCAGAAACACGATTTGAAGGAAACATTCAAAAATAGAGATTGTGTTACGCAGAGGGGTAGGGGGGGGCAAAATTTGCAGGTGTAACCAATGTTACAAAAAAAAAAAAAATTTGGTTTTGATTAAAGAATAATGATGAAGAGACTGTCTCAGTTATCACTGTCTTTCCAACTTGTACTCCATTTTTTTCAAGACGTTCGGGCTCCTTCAGGTCACATCCTAAAGTCGCAAAGTGGACAAAGGTCAACAACACCAGCTGCACAATCTGCTCTAACGATTCTTCGTAACGCGATATTAAAAATTGAGTGTTACTCTTGGTTTTTTTTAAGCGCCAACGGTTAAGCTTACGACTGCGCAGTGAATGGGGAAACAATTAATTTCCATTTCTAAGTCTTGAGTTCACTTTCATGATTATTTTGTTTGCGACATTTTCAATGTTGAAATCCTATATTTATGCTGTGCCTTGAAATCGTTTTAAAGAGCTTCTTCTTAATTTTAATGTGCACACTTTTTTTTTATGTATAAACTATAAAGCTGGTTAGATTTTATCTTTCATGGTGCGTAAAAAAAAATAGTTAAACGTCAGTTTTAAAGTGTACTTTTTGTATCTCGCGTGATAGTATGGACATGTTCTTGCTTTGAACTTTAGGTACTCGTTAAAACGGGGTCTCAATAGAGAGGTCCCATAATATGCGGTTGAAGATCACCTGGTTTAGCAAGTAACACCTTCCTAATGAATTTGACAAACGATCTAAGGCCAGTAAGTGATAAATACTTGTAGTATCAACTGTTACTTTTTTTAGGGGGGTCCCTTTCTTTACAGCCCCATTAGTTTGTCATCATCGTTGTGGTGGTTTTTTTCCCCAGGGGAATAATGCGATGATGAATTTGCAAGTCATTATTAAAGGATAGAATAGGTGAACGGCATAAGAAATGTAAAATCTGTTTCACATATAACTGCAATAACTTGAGCTCAAATAAACCATACACAATTGGCCACTTAATATTAACAGACGCAAAGTCAGAATATTAACAGACACCAAGACAGAATATTAACAGGCACAATGACAGAATATTAACAGGCACAACGACAGAATATTAACAGACACAACGACAGAATATTAACAGACACAACGACAGAATATTAACAGACACAAAACAGAATATTAACAGACACAAAACAGAATATTAACAGACACAAAAACAGAATATAAACATAACACCAAGACAGAAGACACGAAAAAAAGAAAGAAAGCCTGTTGCGATTTCTGGTTCAGTTCTTGAGAAGCAAAGCCAAACTACAAATTTTAACAACCTGTGACACACACACACAATTTGAGTAAAGGGTTTTCCATAAATGACCGCACGGTATTTGGACCAATTTCGGTCCCTTCGTACCCCAGCGTCACAAATTTGTCAAATAATTTAAGACACCTTCGTATAAGTTCGTCACAAAATCGTTTACCCCCCCCCGCCTTTTCCCCCCTCTCCCCCCGAGCGTGACGTCATAATGCATGACCTACCTAAAATATTAACAAGTTTTGAGCACATTTGAGTAAAGGGTTTTCCATCAATGACCGCACGGTATTTGGACCAATTTCGGTCCCTTCGTACCCCAGCGTCACAAATTTGTCAAATAATTTAAGACACCTTCGTATAAGTTCGTCACAAAATCGTTTACCCCCCCCCCACCTTTTCCCCCCTCTCCCCCCGAGCGTGACGTCATAATGGATGACCTACCTAAAATATTAACAAGTTTTGAGCACCGATCCATCTTCTATTTACTTTCGGGCCTGTGAAACTGTAACGACGCAAAGATTCAATTCCTTAAAGAAATCTTTTTTTTTTTTTTTTTTTTAAGTGTTGTTTACGAAACAAAACAATATATTTAAAAAGAAAACAAAGACGCTAATCCTTAAAGCCACAGACGCCGTTCGCTTTATTTATGGGTTAGTTTTGTAAACATCGTGAAAATAGGACGGCCAGCTTTAATCAATGCAGGCGGCCTTGCAGTCATCGATGTCTTGAAAGTTGTTGGCATTTCCCTTACATCCGCCGTATACGAAAGAGTCGCACGCATTGGTACTACTGTTGTAGTGGTAGCGAAGAAAGTTACCTTTGCAGGGCCCTGTTTCAGATGGAAGTGAACAAATGTCGTCTGCGGAAAAGAAAAAAAAGATGGCATACGCGTGAGTAAAATAAAGCATGAGCGAAAGAGGGGTGTGGGGATTTGGGGGGGGGGGGCATTGGCTATTGAACGAAGGTATCTTATTTTTAAAATGACGTTTAACCATTGGGCGATTATATCAAGCTGTTTAAACAGTAACGAACCAGTAAAGGGGGTGGGGGAAGGGCGTCAAAAAAACTTTTTTTTTTAAATTTTTATTTTTATTTGACTAAACTTTTGAAATAAACTATTTAATTTGAATACTGTCATTGTATTCAAAAATTTTTTTTTTAAATAATTAAATTGTAACTTTTATTTGACTTAACTTTTGAAGTAAACTATGTATTTGGAATACTGTGCTTTGTATTTGTGTCATATTGGTAGGCAGTAAAAAATAAAATGTATTTTTGAAGGGGAAAATGAAGGAAATATGAAACGGTTTTTTTTTTTTTGGGGGGGGGGGGGGTTTGCCAGAAGTTTACACATTTACGTAAAAGCTTCTTAGTAAATGATAAATATGTACAGTTACATAAATGCAAATAAAAATGCATATACATGAAACAAAAATTGTTTTTAGTATTTTTTTTTTTTTTAATTTTCAGTGCGATCGCACCAGCAATAGTTAAGAGTAGATTCCTCATGAAAATTAATGCAACATATCGCATTATCACTAAATATTGGACTTTCTCTTGTGAAGGCCGAGATTACGCGCTTGTAAGGCCCTGGCTAATTTAACAACAGCTTGTCTCATCTCTATTTGCCACTGGGCCACGATATCTCTTTGGTTGGAGGTACCTCTCCTGGGTACTGTACGAGTGCGCCCGAGCCGCTTCAGATTTTCTCAACGAAGCAGGAGCCGTCTGTAAAGACTTTCGCCATTTTGTCCGAGCAGGCGTGAGCCGTTTTTAGAGCTTCCTCCTTTAGTTCTGCTGGAGTTTTTTTTTTTTTGGCATTTGAGGTCGCAGTATTTGCCAGAGTCGGATTCATTTCAGGTAGGTTAAAGCTTTAGAGCGGGCCCCGTGCCGGGATCAGTCGCATCTCTTCCCTGTTCTCGGGTTAGGGTTAGGCTTTCCCCCAGTGAGTTGGCCACGTCTATGAAGGAGGGTCACTTTAGCCTGGTCTCTACGGTCTTGTAATTGGAAACAGGGTACTGTTCTTCTAGAGACGCGCAGCTCGCAAACGCCCGGGCCTTGGGGGCTGTAGTCCTTTGCTCCCCTCACGTTCCCAATGTGTATAGCTCTTAGGAGTCGCGCGTCCGCTTTCCAGTCGGTACAGGCAGGCTTTTCCCACCAGGATTAGTTTAGACTTTGTTTTCTCGCACACAGTTCGTGGGGGTGGTTGTGTAGCCTAAGCTTCTGATCCAACTTTACTCCCATGTACACTGGAGTCTTGTCCCATTTTAGCTCTTTCCCGCAGATGGTACACCGGATGTCATGTTTTAGTGCAGTACGCCCATTTCTGACAATGGAATGGTCAGTCTTTTCCGAATTAACGACCGTAATCACTTCTAAAGATCAATACTCGAAAGGGTCGAGAGTCTATCTCTTAGGACCCTGGCCGTGAAATTAAGCCTAGTAGTCCCTGGGAACTCCGGCCATGCAACTCGGCCCAAGTAAAATTTGGGTTTGGGACAGCTTTACTTCCTCTCCGGTGATGACGTTGCGTTGCCACCACCACCGCCCGGGAGCTGTACGACCGTAATCACTACAACGGTCGACTATTATACGATTTATATTAAATATTAATTTCACCTTTCTTTTTTCTATTTCTTCAACGTGCTGTATTAACTATGTATTAACGATGTATTAACTATGTATTAACCCCGTATCCCAGGGTTCCCCAACCTTGTAACCCGTAACCCACCTAATCCACTACAATAGGTTTGAGGGTTTCCCCCCCCCCCTCCACCATTCACGTTGTAGAGCTTTAAAAAAGTGGGCTTGCCCAACTCTGCTGCTCCTAAAATCGTAATTACAAATTTATTTCTCAGAGTCAGTGAGCCCCACACCCTTTTTTCTTCTCTTCAAATCTCACTCAATTTTGGAAACACTGACGCCCTATATTTGTGATAAATGCTTTTATACCACACATAATTAAAGATTATAATTAATTACATTTATTGTAAAAACAGTTTACCAAATGAATGACGGTGTATAACAGCCATTTAAACTCTAAAAGCAAAGTAATTAATGGAATGCATCGGCCGATTACGGGAGGCCGATTAATCGGTAATCGACCAATTCGCTAATCGGTGCCACCTTAGTATCTCCATTACCTCACAATTAGTTCTATACACATTGCACGTCGTAGTGCAAAACATTAGAATGCAAAAAAAAACGCAAACCACACAGTATTATGGGTAGCTTAAAGTATAATGCAAAATTGTAAAATTGTAAAATTAATTGTAAAATTGAGATATCAGAGATAGTTTTCACATAACTTACCTTTTTGGTGAGACACTTGCAGCCACACCAGACCAAGGAGACAGAACAATACAACCTTAACGTCCATGATGACGAATACCGAGTAAGTGTTGAGCAGTTCCGGTATACAACATTAAATAACTCTTTTTTTTTTCTTTTTTTTTGGGGGGGGGGGGGGTGGGGTGGGG